ACAAATTTATTTAAATAACCGGCATTGTTTTCTTTTTAGTTTATAACAATCGGTAATCAACATTATGATCATAGCGATGAAAAAAACATTAACAGAACAACGATGACAATGGTAACGCTTTTGGTGACGGGCGTCAGTGATAATTATATAGTGATAAATAATCGGTAACAATTTTAATTATAGTAACAATAAAAACACCAACAAAAAAACACTTAATTATTACAGCTTGTAAATCTCTTTTTTTTTTTCTAAATATAAAAGTCCTTTTCTTCATTTCTTTGAATTTACAGATTTTTTAACTTCACTTTTACTACTTACTCTTACTCGCCTAACCTAAACAAATGTTTGATCAAAATAAACTCTTAAAGCAGTGTTGAACTCACTTTAGCTGAAAGAACTGTTAACGACTCAACTATGGTTAAACGTTAGGAAAATAATAATAGACTCTCTTATTTTTAGCAAATTTTTTTTTTTTGATCTTCTTAGCAATAAATTTAATCACTACAATCAAACCTCATTCTGCAGTAAATGCTCACATAACCAATACATCTGAATCCTCCTTCAACCATTTTTCAGCACCAATAACTCATCTTGAACCGTCTTAATCAGAAACGACATCAAGGTGACAATATAATTTTTTACCATCTTATAATCGATGATGCCATCTCTGAATTCTTGAACTTTGTGCGTCTTTGAGCCTCGACGATAAACGCTGCATTATAATATCATCAACTGCAACATTCACACAGGAGACTAGTCAAGAAAAAGGCAATCGACAGTTTTGTTACGGCTGGCTGTTTTCTGAATCGTTTTTCCTGTTTTGCAATGGAAGCATAATTTACTGCTTTTGAAAGACAACTTAAGTTTTGATTTTTGTAAACGCGAATATGTTACCAATGAAAGCGCAGTCAGCTGACTTATATACATAAAAATTTTTAACTTCAGTCAATGTTCAATTACTTCAGTTCGTTTACTTGATTTTTTTATGGTTGCTCCACAGCAAATACTGGTATATAAGTCCCGTTGAGAACGGGCCAAATTACAAGCCTCCAAAGATAGGCATGTCAAGCAGCAATCTAGCAAATTTTGTAACTTTGGTGGGGAGAGGTGTAAGTTGGCGGAGGATTCACCACTTTTTCAGGTTTTTTGTGGCTTTCTCTTTTCCCGCCTGAACCCTACTGATCAGCAAAAAATGAAAAAAGTCTTAGAGGGTGATGTTTGAAGGTGTGCGATTTGGCATGGAATGACCCATATATAAGTACCAGTATTTTGTTTTTGCTGAGAAGCAACGGTAAAAAAATCAAGTAAGCAAATTAAAATAATTAAAATTTTAATCACAGTTTTGAGGCTTTCTGAAACAATAAAGTTAAATGTCTTTAGCAAAATAATCTGTTCGGAAAACAATTTTTCAGTAAACGTCAATGACAGTATTATCTGTGTAAAAAAACTTTCTCGTAACTTTTATGGTGTTTCCAGAAACATGAAGCTTCTTTAGGAATTTTCAACTAACTTCAACAAACCTGTTTCGTTTTTGTTTGTTCTCTCACAAAGACTAACCATATTTCAACTAAAAAAGTTCTAATAATCAATCCTTAAATGGGAGAAAGAAGGAAAACCAAACGTCCTCATTTTACAGAATTTTGACAATAGAAATACTGTGGGTCTTTCTGTAATACATGGCAAGAAAAAAAAAAAAA